TTTCATATATCAATAGGGAATCATGCTCTGCAACTGTGGTGAAAGTTTAAAAAAATTCTGTAGTGTGTGATTTTTTTAAAAGCGAAAATTTTATTGCGAAATTTCCACACTACAGATTTTTTTAAAAATTGAAATTTATATAATTTACCGCAAAATAAATTCGTGGTCAAAATTTGAAGATAGGTCACCGATGAAACTAATAAGTAAAATGCGAATAAAGTTAGAAAATAGCCTCGTGTAACTCGAGAAATTCCCCTTATTGAAAAGCGTCGCTGACTAGTAAAAGATTGTACGCGGGCACAGAACGAGTTTCCATTCAGCAAAATCGAGCGGAAATGTTGTTTTTACTGTTTTGTTTTTGTCAACTTTTCGATTTATTTGAGTGCCATGGACAGCCAAGGATTAATGTGAAGGATCAAATCGATGAAAACAAGGTTGAAGCTAATTAATCCCTGCCGTTTACTCAATCTATGAGCTGTAACAGCCTATTAACAGGTGGACGTGTTTTTTTGTTTCATGTTTGGTTTTGTACTTTTTGCTAAAAATGAACAATTATGCTATGAAACTGAAATATTTTTCTGTTTACATATAATCACTTTAATCTTGTAGAAACACGACTAAAAACGTGAACGTTTTCTTGAGAAGTAAATAACTTTTTAAACGTTTGTGTGCAATTTTGCAAATGTTTTACAGTTGACAGTGTATATTTAAAGAAATTAAAAAACATTGTTTCGTAGCTATTTTTGGTCTAGTGATATTCGTATCATATGTAGAATTGCTGTATAGACTCGCAAGTGATTTGGCACTCAAAACGAAGTATTATTCAACGCTTTTTTCCATTAGAAACCTTTCAGAAATAGCTTTATTTTTAAACAAAGCGTGGTCAATTTTTGTTTTGTTTTGATCATGCGGTTGCGTGGGATAGTCCACGTACTGGTCCCGCGAACATCCCGCACGCAACTGTAGGGAGCCTCCTTAAGGCTTAAAACGTGCGCATTTTGCATTGTAACTATGGACCGACAGATAATAAGTACTTAAGATGTAGAACTGGCAGTGTATTAGGATTATTTCAATCAATCAATCAATATATATTTATTTCCCATGTGTATGTACAATAATAAGTAACAAATACTATGTGTAGTTTGAAGGTGTTGGGCTAGAGACCTACTGGAAACTTTTTCAGGCTTTTTAATGTAGGCCACTAGTTAGGTTTAAAAAAAAATTGCATATATATTTACAGTGAAGAGTAATTATTGAAGTAAGACCTAAAAGTATATACTATTTACAAAAGAAGAATATTATATCATAATATACAGTTACAAGATTACACAATTTTCGCTATACAGGGTGTATCAAAAAAAATTTGCCCAATCAAAGGAATAAAAAGGTTCCCATTACTCTTTGCGCGTTTAGAGTTTAAGGTTTGAAATTTTCGAAGGACAAACTTGTCGAAGGACAGACAGGAAAATTGTCAGATTCGCCGATGAATCGATTGGATCCTTCGGCCAATTAAGCGTGTTTACGGTCCGATAAAAATTTCACCGATGGTGAAATGACGTTTTTTCAAAGGGCTGCAAATTAAACAACCTGGACAAAAGGCTGTTCCACAGGATCAAACTCACACGACAGCTTGTCGGATGGAACGATTTCGAATTATTCTAAATTTGCATACTATTCGATGCTTGGACAAATGATATGCTATAAATAGAATATCACGGATAATACTACAGTAAATTCTCGATCTGGGTAAAGTATTCCGCCATGGCGACGTTTTTCGACAATCCATTTTGATTGTTAGGTGTTATAAAAATATTGGCTCGTTCGTTTATACCACTGTGGCAAGCGTTTTATTTCGAGACATAACCTATTCGCAAATCGGTAATGTGTAGATGGATAAACCTGAAAATTCATAGTCTCAATCCCACAATGTATTTTCGACATTTAGGCGTTACCAGCTGCTGATATACCCGTCTTTGTTTATATTCTGAAGGATAAATCTAAAACGATTTTACAGCCTAAGAGCTAGAACATGTAGTTTTACGAATGATTTAATATGTTTTTGCTAAGATGTGTCAAAAAACTTAGAAAGATGTAAATATTTCTCTGCTTTTACGGAAAATCAACGTATCGTCTAAGGAAGTTCCCTCGGACCAAAATCCGTCTTGCAATATGAATTTAGCTATTCTTCTGAGCGAGATTTTTGTAAAATTAGAAACGTATGCAGAATATATAGGTTATCACTTAAGAAATAGAAAACATTTTCCGTATTTCTATTTAAGAAATAGAAAACATTTTCCGTGTTTCTATAGAGTTATAGAAACACGCGTGCTAGTTTGGGAGAACGAGAAATAATCAGTGGGAACACGAGCACGTAGTGCAAGTGTTTTCTATTTCCTTTATTAAATAACCTTGTGATAATAACACAAAAACAATATTTTTCACGCAATTAATTAAAAAGTATATTCTCATTACACAATAACAAGAAAATGTTGCCTAGCAACAATACCGGCATCAATTTTCAGTTTCGCCGACTGCAAAATTATGGGAAAAAACACGCTGAAAAAGTTGATTTAAAGAAAATTTAAAGCGAAAAAACGTTTGGTAAGTGTTTTCCATTGCTTGTTTAACAAAATTTCAGGTTGACGAAGATTTTTAATCGATATTTCAGGCGAAAATGTTTGTTTTAGTGTGTTGTTTTGAGGTTCGTGGAAAATTCCCGCGTTCTATAGCGTTATAGAAACACGGGATATTCGCTTTTCAACCAATCAGCAGCGCAGGCGTTATTAAAAGGTTATTTTGTAAATGCTAGTACTACCAAAGAGTAGTACTACCTCAATGAGGAAAGACTGGTATTGCCATGATACAGAAGTTCTTTAGCGTAGTTATATTCCAAGTTTTTTTGGCTTTTAAGAAGTCTGTTAACAAGGGACATTATTTTTTGAAATTGTACCAAAAAATACTAAATTACTTGATTTTTTGAAATTTTACCAAAACTTTTACCAAAATTATATTTTACCAAAACTTTTCCAAAAATTACTAAATTTTACCAAAAGTAAATTAATTTACCAAATCTGGTCACACTGGACACGACTGAATCATTGGACCAAATATTCAATAGCGATATTCCATGGTCGCCATTTTGATTTTGATTTCGTAAGAATTACGTAATTAAAATGACGTAATTTGTCATTTTGTGGCGTACCAAAGGGCAAACCTAGAGTCGGTGGGCACAACAGGTGGCCCCACCGACTAATAATGCTGTTTCCAGTTAACATAAGCGTTTTTCATAGATTCGTTTACGCACGGAAAAGTTTAAATCCTAAAGAGGCTGTCTCTGTAAAAACCGCCCGCTCGAATTTCATTTCAAACATGATCTTCGCTAAAACTCTGGCAACTGGAAGGCTTTACCAAGCATAAAATAAAAACAGCCTCGGTTTAGTTGAAAACGATTTTCCAGTCGCGCTGCAAATAACGAAATATTTTGCCCCTTCAAGGCCTGTTGGGACGTCTCGAAAATTGAAAACTACGCATTTTTCATTTTATTTCATTTCACTCATGAAACTTTCTAGTTTTCTTGAAGAAGAGGCATTTTTACAATACCTGATATTAGTTGTAACGGAAAAATTAAGCACAATGTAAACCCTACTTATCACTATAAATCAAAGAGTGGAAATGGCCTTGATTTAGATTCTATTTTTCAAACTTTGGGACCTTGTCAATCGCTCGAAACTATTTTTCAAGGAAGTATAGTCTTTTGTTGGTAAATATAAGCAAAAAACCCTGTACGATTTCAGTATTTCAAAAGTTATGGCCGTTTGTATCAACACACATGCGTGTATTTGCGATGAGTCGTCTTATTGTAAAATCACTCTATCTCGTGCAGATTCTAACTTAAATGCAACAATATACAGCTTACATCGTTACTAACTCAAGTTTATTTCCTTTTGAATTCAAGAGTACATGTCCTTCTCTTCCTCTTGATCTGTCCGACCTTGGTTGTCTCAGAACTTTGGTTCGAAACGTTACGTTGCTCACACTTCGCATATGTAAATATCCTTTCGAAACAGAATTTGTTCGAAAATGTTATGGAGCGATGATCGAGTCGTCATATTGTAAAATCACTCAATATCGAGACATAAAATACAACAATGTACAGCAGCTTCCCTGCTTTAGTCAAGATTAATTACAACTTGTGTCGCGTGACCTAAATGTCCAAGCTTTGCACCGCTAAGGGGGGGACCATTAGAAATCCCGGGAGGGGGGTATAAAATTTTTGCGGCACGAACTTTTTTTCCAGTCTCGTGTCTCTGCAGGAAATTTTTTTTAATGCATTTAACTAATGCATTTTTTTTAATGCATTTAACTAATACATTTTATATAAATTTATGCATGTTGAAGGAAATTATCAAGTAAATGTGTATAAATTTCATGCACTCGATAAATTCCATCTACAAAACCCTTTAACTACTAGTGTTCAATCACGTGTGGTGCCACGAAAATATTGTCCCCGAGCCGACGGCGCGAAGCGCCGCGCAAGGGTACCAATTCCCCCCGGTTATTTACACCCGGGGAAACCATACCATAGAACCATACCTGATCAGTATCTTGTTGATCAGCCTTGTTTACACAATGGCAGTAATCATGAGTCGATTCATCAGTTAGCGCATGGGCAAGTCAACTCCGATGCATCCAATAAGAATATGATTAACAACACCAATCCATTAAACTGCAACCGAAGTCCCCACAGGCACAGTCAATCTATTGATGTCAATTCTACTGAATCTAGAGTAAGTCACCACCCACCTAATCCATCCAACTCACGTGATCAATCAACTATGATTAGAGATAGGCATCAACCACCTATGCCACCTCACCGTACCAAGATTTCTATATTGGGAGACTCAATGATAAAGCGTGTTCAATCTCGGCAAATTTGGCGGGCCGTGAGTATTAGTAAATATGTCTACATCCGCTCTTTTCCGGGTGCAAAATCTTTAGATATGACAGACTTTGCAAGACCAACTATGAGGAACAACCCGGACCACATTATAATACATATTGGTACAAATGATGTACGCCAAAGTAACCCAGAAGATGTCATTAGAAATGTTGAAAACTTGTGCAATCAGATCAAAGACCAATGTCCCCGTACTACCATATCACTATCGGAACTGATTGTTCGCAATGACTTTCCTGATGCTACTACTAAGATCAACAAAATTAATAATGAACTGCTATGCCTTAGTAGATCTAAAGGCTATTATCTAATTAATAATTCAAACATCAGTGTGCAAAATCTAGATAGATATGGCCTTCATTTCAATGGTAGTGGTGTGGACACTCTTACTAACAACTTTATAAATCATATTAATTGTTTTTAGCGACACTCAATTGCTGCTACGTCAATTGCTGCAATAACAACGACATTGCTGACCTGCTCTCGTCCAATGTTAACGATTCCTCTTTTACTATTCGTGATGAAACCTTGTCAGATAAAGACCCTCTCTCAGTAATTCTCACGAAAGGCCTAACATTTTTTTATCTAAATATCCAGGCCATTACAAACAAATTTGATGCTGTGAAACTCTTAATTTTAAATTCCACAATCAGTCGACAGAAAAGCAATATAATCTTCTGTTTCGCAGAAACGCATCTCAATCCCACTTGGTCTGATTCCGAAGTATCTATTGACGGCTATCATTGTGTAAGAAGAGATCGAACCACGTCCAAAGGTGGTGGTCTCATTGTCTATATTCGTTATGGTCTCAATTTTAACATTCGTTCTGATATTCAAGTTTCGGATGAATATTACGAAATAGAATACTTGTGGATTGAATTCCTTTTCCAAAATTCCAAATCCATTTTGGTTAATTTTCTTTATCAGCCGGATACTAGTAACAAGTGGAGAGCTCAATTTGAAAACTTGTTGAAAATAGCTGACAATGAAACGTCCGGGATGGTTTTGTGAAGAAATCCGCATAGCTCAACACAATCGCGATTACTATCTTAAAATGTTCCGGAAGAATGCGAATGATGCTCACAATACTAATTGGTCTCAATATAAGACTTGGCGCAATAGGTCTGTACATTTGATCAGGAATGCAAAAAACTCGTATATAAAAACACTTCTTAATGACAATTCTACGAATTCTAAACAAATTTGGCGAGTTTTGAAATCAACTATAAATCTTAATAAGGCTCCTCCCCCTGTATCTTTAGTTATTGATAATGTGAGATATGACAACCTTGCAATTGTCAGTAATCTCTTCAACGAATATTTTACCAACATTCAGGACAAGTTTGACATGAGTGAGGCTGTTGACTACAGTCAGTTTTACCTTCTCGTTATCTGTTAGGCAAACTAAATTTAGTATCCCCCCTATTACTATTGAGGAGGTTTCTGATTCCCTGAAACAATTGAACCCCTCTAAAGCGACCGGAATTGATGGTCTTCCCGCCCACTTCTTAAAGTTCCCTGCAAACATGATCTCCAATACTGTTACCACCATATGCAACTTAAGCATCAGCACAGGTATTTTTCCAGCCTTGTGGAAAAAAGCAAAATTATTCCAAATACACAAATCTGGCGAAATGAGTGAAAGAGGCAACTTTAGACCAATTTCTATCCTGGTTATTCTCTCAAAAATCCTTGAAAGACATGTGTTTAATTCATATTTGTTATATTTAACTGAGCATGAAATTCTATCCGATTACCAACATGGATTCAGACCTGGCCACTCGTGCGAAACGTCATTAAACATGATTTACGAATACCTTGTTAACAATATTGTTAATGGAGAAATTAACGGTGTTTTGATGCTTGACTTTTCCAAAGCCTTCGATTTAGTGGATCATAATATTTTGCTCCAAAAAATCCACGCGTACGGGGCTACTGACCTAACCCTAAAATGGTTCGCCTCGTATCTTGAAGGACGAACTCAACAGGAGCAAATTAACGAAGTCCTTTCTGAACCTTTAACAATTATTACTGGGGCCCCTCAGGGTTCTATTCTTGGCCCGTTACTATTCTTAATATTTATCAATGATCTTCCATCTTTTCTTACTACCTCTCATCCTTCTCTTTTTGCGGATGACTCAACTCTTTTAGCCCATGGCTGTGAGCTACCTGATATCAAAGCTTCTTTGTCGACTGATTTGTGTATTACCTCTAATTGGGCGAGAAGCAACCATATGGCTTTAAATTTTAGCAAAACCAAATTCATGAAAATTTATTCAAAGCGTAAGTATTCACAGCTTGATTATGATAGCATACTTTATAAGGATTTTTGGATTGAAGAAATTACTTCTGGCAAACTTTTAGGTATCTTACTGGATAACAATCTCTCCTGGGACAACCAAGTGGATAAGATATATAAATACCTTAATTCCAGGCTTTATCTGTTTAAGCGTATTTGCCCAGCCCTTCCACTGAAATGTAGAATTAAGTTTTACTATGCTTTTATCTACCCCCATTTACTTTATGGCATCACTATTTGGGGCAATGCACGCAATGAGCTTATCGACCCTTTGCTTAAACTTCAAAAAAGAGCAGCCAGATTGGCTTTGGACGAGAGTATGTCAACTCCTTCTGTTAATCTGTTCCGCAAACTGGAATGGATTCCCATCTACAACTTAATCAAGATGCGAAAAATTTTACTCGTTGTAAGCACCTTGCGCAGCTCATCTCCTAGTGATCTGCGCGAGTTGTTTTGTTTCTCCGGGGTATCGCACGATGTATATACTCGCTCCTCTGTTACTGATCTCAAAATACCATCTGTCAAATCTAATCTTTCCAAGACCAAACTCTCATACAGCGGTGTTTTACTTTTCAATTCTTTACCAAATGACCTGAAAGTGTTTAACGATTACTCCCCGTCTGCATATAAGCATAAAGTTAAGAGGTTTTTCTCCAATCTTAATCATGAGGTTGACAATCTTGAACAATTTTCGTGTCTTTCTTGTAAAAACCTAGTTAAGTGTATTTGTTACTCGCACTGAATTTTCTTTTAATTTTTAATAACTTATATTGTCAAAACTAAAAAAAAAAAAACATGCATGCTTAATAATACAGTTATTTTCGTATTTGGTACTATAAGTTGTATAGTCCCATATGTCTGTGTCAAATGCTACTATAGACTTGCTTCTTTGCATATATTGTAAATACTGTAGGTTATCTAATTTTTAGAGGGCCATTTGGTAGAATACCTTCTCAGGTAAAAATGTTAACTTACCCTCATCAAATAAAGTTTATTATAGTCTAAAGTTCATCAAATATCGCGGGCGTGGGTCACTGTGCTTGGGTGGTCATTCTCACTGATCTCAAAAATACGGCGGACTGTTATGAATTGCAAAAACTGTGATCAGTCCAATTTAAAGTTTGCATTAAAACACAGATGATATATTATACCAGATGAATCACTGTGTATCTATCCGTATGATTTTCGTGTCCGCGATTTTCGCGAATTAATTACGCCAGATGACGCGTGCGACGCTTACTGCCCCAAAATGGGGCTTAATGCCAAAATGCATGATTGCTCACGTTTCATGGCAAAATGTAAGGAGATGATAATATCCTTCCTCCAATATCACCTTCCACTTGATAATGAGATCTATATTGATTGTTTTCCAGGGCAACCAGTATCCTCCTTTAAACTGCTCGGTGTGCTGCTGAGAGAGGATCTATCTTTGGTATCTTGGACAGGCGTACACTCAAAATTTCTGTTGAACATTTGAATCTGGAGAATTGGAAAATTTCCGAAAGATTTTTTTCAGATCATTAATGAGGTATGAACTAATAGCGGCTGCTCAAGCGCCATTTGTAAGCTCAAAGTCTACCTCGGTCTGCTTCACGTCAGTCTGGTTCTATCTATCTATTCATAATGTAACCAGTCACTGAAAAGCCCTGTTAGGGAGTGTGCTGTGAAATATCTATCTGTGCGATCATGTTGACTATGTGATTATTAAAAAAGCTAATTCCAGACTCTATGCATTGCGGAAGTTAAAAAAGCTGGGTTAAGCGATAAAGACCTTGTCACTATAATAATTATATTCCTTCTTCTTTTGGTCCCGAATTGAGTGCGCTTCACCAGCGTGGTCAACGCTGACCCAAGGCCAGTCTGACCTTATCGAATCGATACAGAGAAGAGCATTACGCATCTTGCTTCCCGAAATGTCGTATCAAGATGCATTGAATTATACCGGTCTAAAAAAGTTAAGTACACGTAGACATAATTCCTGCGAACAATTTGTCCGGAAATTGAAGCTTAACAATGGTCTTATAAATCCTCTTAAGGATGTTGTTGCAACTCGTATACATCCAACTACTCATAATTATAATCTTAAGGCCCTGTCAGACTATTGTATATCGTACTAGCGTATGCGAGCGTATGAGAAATATTACTTATACGCCGGTATACGCTGGCATACGCTAGGGGCACGTTAGGCATAGGTTGTATACGTTTCAAATACGGACGCGTACGGTGGCATACGCTGGCATACGTGCAGGCAGAAAATTTCTTTAAGCATGTTCAATGAATACGCTAGAGGTACTCCAGATGTACGGTACTCATACGCTGGCATTTCAAAGGATTTTTGTGCGTATGAAAATTATTTCATTGATTTTCATACGCTTCACATGCGTTTCTCTCATACGCAATAGTGTGACAAGGCCTTTAGGTCCGAATCAAGCTGGTCACTCCAAACGAACACGAAAATTTTATAACCGTTAAATATAATTATTAATGTATTATTGACTTGGTAGTACTCGCGTATATTCAGGTACCCAATTATAATTTGTGGACAGGTTTAAGTTGACTATACAAACCGAACATTGGACGGTTTGAACTCAATTTTATCTGTAAATTTAATTTTTAATGTTTTTCTTAAGAAAGAAGAAGCGAAAGAATCGGGTAAAAGAAGGGAGCCGACGTTAACGAAGGTAAGTCTGTTTTAAATATTGATTTTATAATTGATTTTAAACCCGACGGCCTTTGCGTATATGAAACAACTAAACAAGACAGCATATAATTTCGTTGTATCTTTAATATTGATTCCCTTTTTTATTATAAATAAATAAAAAAGAAAGCAAAGTTATTTGCATGCGAGAATTTGAAATTATTTTATTGCAAACTCAAAGTTTATCGACAAAGCCATTTAATTAAAGGCAGTTTTATAGTTTAAAAAGAACACTTTAAAACCTTTTGCGAAGCTTTAATTTGTTGATAATTTTGTAATTGGCAATTAATTGATAATTTTGTGATTAAAGTGATATTTTTAGGCGATTTTTTATTTGTAAGAATATTATTAAAAAATTTTCGTGTTACCATAACACTACTTTAGATACTTCATGTTCGGAAAATATAATTGTTTTGTCAGCAAGGCGAGGGTTTCTGCATGCATGTATTTTCTAGTGGTATATATATATATATATATATATATATATATATATATATATATATATATATATATATATATATATATATATATATATATATATATATACTCATGATAAATATATATACTCATGATTATAAAACAATTGTCGTAAAACATGTCACATTTGTACAAAATGTTTGTGTCCGCTATAAGCCCTGTCCACAGTAGACCTGCGTGTTATAGTGATGCGATGTCTAGCTGTGGCACAATTTATATGCAAGTCGTTGACGAGTCAATAAATTTTATAAGAACATAATTAGCATTGTGAAATCCCGCTATAAATTGTACATCTGACACCGCATTTAGCATTTTTCGCGCTTGTGTTATTATAAGAAACTTTAAGGTCTACTTGCGATCTTATTGACATATTTCTGGAAAATTCGCACAATAAACCATGACTGACTTTCTTGACAAACCTTGCTGTATTAACCACTGAACATGTTTTCCTGCCAATTTTGGCAAGCTACAGTTTCAGCGCAGATAATGTCTCTTCCTGACTATCAGTGACTCCGACTATAGCTGGGCTCGAAGCAGACCTTAAGAGAAGTAATTGTTTATAAAGGTTTGACTTTACTTAATTCAAATTTCTAATATGTACGTAATGATAAGTAGTAAATCATTGGATAAAAGGCGGAAAGGAAGATAAAATAAATCACACCCAAAATGAAACTACACAATCTTTATTCAATTGCTCATTAAGTCTAGGTATAGAATACAGTTTATATAATAACTACAATGAAACACGCAATTTGATTGGTCAACAGCCGTGCAGGATCAGACAATCCTGCACGGGAAATTCTGAATAGAAATTCTTGCACATAATTTTACAAATATACTCGCATTGTAAAGTTTCATTGTACGATACCTTTCGACTTTGAAGTAAGTTTCCAATTATTGAGACGTTGGTTTAGTTGTATGAATAAATTTCTGATCGATACATTGCTATTCAGGAAGTAGCAACGCGTATTTAAAGCGTTGAAATTCATCAGACCATGGCATCCAATTAAGTACAACATCTCTCGCTTCAAAGTTGATCAAACGCTTCGCAATCTTCACATATTCAGCGCGAGAATCTTCAGAATTACTTTGGCTCTCTGTTGAGCTGGTTTTCCATTTCAAATTTCGTATATCTCATCGAAAAAGTCCCTGTATTTTCGCTGTATATTTTCGCGAATTTGCGATCAAATTCTGTTCACATATGCTGTTGTTTTCAATAGCGTGGAGTAGCGATTCTCTGATTGGTTAATTCACGAATGTTGTGAGAACTGCACATTTCATCAGTAATTTTAATCAAGTTAAGCGTCGTTTCACTATAGTAATTTTATAAAACAATTACCAAATAGTTTTCCGTGCAGGATAGCATGATCCATGCACTTGGAATGTTGCTCGACTTTCGGAAAGCGTAAAAATACACTCGCCTACGGCTCGTGTCTTTTTACGCTTTCCGAAAGTCTCACAACATCCCGCGTGCATGGATCACGCAATCCTGCACGGAAAACCATTCGGTATTCCTTTAATCATGCATACAAAATGAGCTTTTGAACTCATCATAAACACAATAATCACGCTCCCTTTTAATAGGTCACCAAATGATTACAATGTAATCCATAAATGTCATAAACAATTGATAAGTTCCTTTCTCACTAGTTTTAGTGCAGCATCTTTTTCTGTCCTGCATGCATCTACTGATTGAAGACAGCTTTACAACCAACAGTAATTGTATCCATTTCCCCCCCTATCACGTCATGGGTTATTGGTAGGCATTTAACTTTGTTTTCTAATTTCAAATCTGCAACCTTTGAATTTTTCTTATTGAGCTCACATTTCCCCGTTTTGTGCCATATTACTAGATTTATCATTTCGAGCATTTTGTTTCCTTTTTTGGCAGGTCCTTGTATTTCTATTTTTTCCGATGCTTCTGAAGCTTGGTGACACATATCTTCGCCACGTGCATAATTACGCTTTGTCAGTTCAAGATCGCTGTTAAAAGATATAGGTGTAGAATGATCAAGATATAGTGACTTTTATTGATCCACATATTGTATCATAACTGTTGACACTGATTTTTTGTCTTCAATTAACAAGTATTATAAAATATTTTCCATATGGATATACAGTTACATCAACAGGAGTGAAAATTGGGAAAACGAGAAATTAACACAATTTCCAGTTTTTCCAATTTCCACGATTGTCGATATAGCTACATATATCAATCCCGAAATTTTTTTATATTTAAAGAAAGGCGGGAAGTTTTCCAGCTTCTTAGCCAATCAGCGTTCAGAATTTACCAATGCTATATTATAATAACATGAATGACTCATGCTTTGGAAATGACAATAAATTTTCATTACCTAACACTGGAGGTGTTTAGTTTGTCATTCATTCAACATTTTTCAAACTCAACATTTTCATTTTGCTTACTCAACCCTCTTCTCTTCGGTGCCACTCCCTGTCATCAGGGACGTCGTTATCCAATAATTTTAAACTTCAGAAAATAGGCCAAAATGGGAAAGATTTTGGTGAAAATAGGTAGTCAATTTGTAAACGAAATTAGAACAGAATTTGTTTTCCGGAAATTGAGCAAAATAAATTAAGGATAAGTTGACTACAATCAGGAGCAAAAATTATTGAGACAACCGCGTAAATGCCCCGCTCACCCCCAATTCAATGTTGTGTGAATGACTGAAAAGAGAAAATTCAACCCACTTTTTCCAACATACTTTAAAATGGCCAAAAATGTGAAAGTCTCATTATTTTTGAACGCGATTGAATCAGGAGCAAGAATTATTGAGACAACCGCTTAAATGCCCCCTCACTCCTAATTCAATGTTGTGTGAATGACGGAAAAGAGAATATTCAACCCACTTTCTCCAACATTGATCATGGGGGTAGGGGGGAGGCCGACGTATACTTTAAAATGTGAAAAGTCTCACTATTTTTGTACGATATTTTAGATAAGGATAATAATCCGAATGTCTTCTCTACACCCTTCGCCGCCAACAAATTTGGGAAAATAATTTTAATCAGTGGCTGAGATGACCTAAGTTATTCAAAAGTCCGCCAGAACTTGGACAAAATATCACTACTACGCCCCCCCCCCCCTCTCCCAATGTAAATAACTTCGCGACGTCCTTGCCCAACATAAATAATGACCTAAAGTACAAGGACGTAGCGAGAGGGGTATTGGGGGGGCGGTTAACCCCCAACATTTTTAGAATTAATATATTCGGAAAATCGGTTTGGACATTTGCAAAATTACGACAATATTAGTATAATTGTATTATCAGCATAAAATGTAAACTTTCGACATACAAAACGCAGTCTTCTGACCATCAGAATTCTTTCAAATGTAGGCAATGGCATTTCAGAGACTCTAAATTTAAAAATCAGCCCTCTCCCTCAATCAAAAAGAGCTTCTTACGGCATTGCCTTCGTGGCTTCGTATGCCATAAAAGATTTGAAAATTTTTTTCGTCATTGGGAAATTTTTGCCTGATAACCCCCAACTAAGCTATACAGGGTGTATCAAAAAAAGCGCAATCCTCGACTGAAATGTAAATTGCTAAACAAATAATAGACGAAAACGTTAAAGTTTACATTCATTTTAAAGCGTAGCCATTCAGCTTTCTAACAGTGGGTTGTTTCTTAAATTTGACTGATTGGTTTGCGGCTAATAATACTTTACGTTATTGCGATTGGAGATTAAAAAAATTGAGATGGAATAACAAATCGTTCTCATGAAAATAACTGATTTTTTCATTAAAACAAAAAAATGTTCCATTTTATTAAATGGATTGTAACAATAAGTATAATTACGGCTTTTCTTCCACTATTTTTAACTCAGTTTTAAACTTCAAATGCGATATAATTTTGGCTTGGACCATCTAAGCTGACTGACATCAACTTGCTATAATTTCTGTTTACATTACATCGCAATTCGATGACACTCTGGCTCAGACACCAGAATGTTTTGACGAGTTTTAGCATTCGTTTAGGATTTTCAAACAACCTGGTCTCTTTTAAAATACTTTTAATTTGTTCTTACGTGGTTTTCCAGATGTAGTGACGACAACATTAAAGTTTAAAGAAGAAAATTCTAACATTTAAACCGACTAAACAATAACATAGTAAACTTGCATAATTAAACAGCAACTAAAATGATAGGTTTTACTAAATCTTTTCCTGTGCAATTATTACTAGCATTGGAGACAAGGATAATAGTTTGTTTGAAAGAGAAAAGAACAGGCTTTGAAGTAAGCCTAAAAGCGTTTAACTAGAAATAGTATTTCGAAAATTATTAAGCACAAAAGATGAATTGCGTTTATTTTGATACACCCTGTACATGCTAGCAACGGGCCCGGTAAAAATAATTTATGCATCCGACCCCTGAGTAATGCAGAGGCTACAGGTGAGTCACAGCAACTGATCAACCTATGCAAATGTTTAATTATAAACTATAGCTATGCAAGTTTTCAATTATATATAATATACAAAATTTTATGAATGCAGGTATATATATACAAATACATTGATGGAAAGAATGTAAAATGCTATAATATAAAACAATGGAATCTCCGAAAATGACGTATATTTTATTCAATATTTCAGTTCATAATCTTTAGCCATCATCAATGAAATTTAATTCGAAATGTTGAATTAAAAATATCAAAGCTCCGTTGCATTTTGTTTTATTAGAATACCATTAATTATGGTAAAATAGTAAATGCACAAAATGTAAACACAATTTTATGCTGCCGCATAATTAATATTTTCTACAAAGAGTTGTACATCAGCCTTAGCCCAACAGCCAAACGTAACCATACGCCGAATCTAACGCTCCTATTCTAAAAGCTCACACACGCTCACACTTAAACAGTGGAGGATCAATCTGAGATCCCCTTGAGTATTAGTGTCGTTTTTGAGTAGCTGCAGCACTGCAGGTTTAGGCCTGGATTCGAAAAGCTCACTCACGCTCACACTCAGCAGAGGAGTCGAGTAGTCGAGTTTATCTGGTAAAACAAGACAAACACCGTCTTACCTTGTTAATTGTAGTAGACTCTCAATGTGTGCATTAAAAATCGATATTTATTCATCAAAATTATAGAATATAAAACCAAAATATGAATTTCAACATTAATATACGCCGCTGCCATGAATTACCGTTGTCTCGTATATTCCGAAAAACTAACGAACACTGGCCGAGAGAGCAACGAATAAGAAACGAAGAAAGACAGGAAACATTGCACATTTTTCGTCACATGTGCACCGCAACACCTTATGACGGAAGTGAATAAAACCCGGCCATTGACCAATGACGAAGTAGCACTTCATTTGACAGTTATAATTAGTATATCAGAAATTTGAATCAATCATGCATCAACACGAAACCATACGTCACTTCCGTCATAGGGTGTTCCGGTGCACATTGTAAGAAAATAATCGATGAAAACCGGTTGTCAAATATGTAGGTTAAACGATCGTTTATTGAAATTTATTTCCTGGCGTTGTAAGAATCGATAACTTCTGGATTGTAAACAAAAATTTATGTGTTTTTTGTGAAATATTAAGCAAGTTATAGCCGACCTAAAATATCACCCTAATGACTGTTTCCTCCCTTTCTTCGTTTCCTATTGTTAGTCTAATGTGAGACCACTATAATCTAGAACAGAGGAGTTCGTTCATTTGGTATTCATGTTATATGAAGTACGAATAAAAAGTTATACAATGTTTATAAACTTTATACGGTTTCACGTTCTACAATGAAAGATTTTACAATTAGCAAGGTATACGTAAGACGACGTTTGTCTTGATTTACTAGACACAATCGACTCCTAACTCGGCTCCCTTTGACTCAAAGGTTGGATGGTCAAACTTAGTTCTCCTTAAGTGTCTTCTGTGCTGTTTTTGAATGGCTGAATTTTTTAATCGTACCGTACTATGTCACTAATCACCGGCCAGCTATTCAAAAACAGCATTGAGACTCAAGGGAAGCTCAGATTGAACCATCATTCATTGAGTATGAGTGTGAGCGAGCTTTTAACATGCAGGCGTAACACTGCAGCTATTCAAAAACTACACTGACACTCAAGGAAAGCTCACATTGAATCTCCACTTTTTGAGTGTGAGTGAGCTCAACATTTGAGCCCATAATGTACATTTTGTTATGCGCATAAAAAAATTGATGTTTGAAGTCGGTCTTAAAATCCACTGCAGACAAGAAAGTTTACACTATTATACTTTAGACTTAAGCAATTTTATAATACCTGTAATCATCCC